CTGGGCCTTGTGGATTCACTTTTCCCTTTCCCCAGCTTGGGCATGGGCGGCTCCCCCGGGGGGGGGGCTTTTATGCAAATGCACAGCTAATCATAGGTAACCAGCTATGACACAGTACCACACTTCATATTATATTCTTACTAGTGGCCCGGTGCACAAAATTCGTGCACATTAAAAGGGGATTAATTAGAGGAAATATTTTAATATTGCTATTTGCCTTTCTCTATAAAGAAGAGTCAGAGATGAAAGAAAATTAGTAAAATGTATATGAAAATCTCCCTCCTGTCAGAGTCTGGGGCGCACTGCAGGACCCAGAATCAAGTCCCCACACACCCGTGCATGCCTCAAAATCGTGCGAAACCCACCCCCGTCAAGCCCTCCAGGGTGGAGGGGGCACAGCCTCAGGTCCCCCGTCAAGCCCCGTTGGGTGAAGGGTGTAGCCTCAGGTCCACTGCCAAGCCCCACCGGGCGGGGGGGCACAGTCTCAGGTCCCCTGTCAAGTGCCGATGGGTGGGGGGGCACGGCCTCAGGTCCTCTGGCCCGGGCGAGAGGGCGCGGGGGTGTGACGACCATTTGCATATTAGCTCTTTATAATATAGGATTCAGGTGGGGTAGTAAATTGAAATATAAAAAAATGAGACATAGCACAGTTATAAGTGGAGCCATAAGTCGTAGTAGGAATTGGAGTAGCCATTAAGGGTCATGAAGTTACAAGGAGGTCAGAAATAATGTACAGAAAAGTGGAAGACCAAGAGGGAGAAGCAAAAGTAACAGGGGCATCATGAGCAGGAGAAGGGAAACCAGCATCAGCAGAAAGAGAAGCAGAATTAGCAAAAAGCATCAGTAGAAAAAGGAAAAGCAGGGTCAGAATCAGTAGAACGAGCTGCAGAATCAGCAGCCAATGAAGGGGAAAGCAGAAGTGGGAGCAGGGCCAGCAAAAGGAAACCAGCTGCAGAAAGGAGAAACTCAGAAAAAGGAGAAGCAGAGGCAGAAAGGGCAACAGAATCAGCAGACACTGAGGGGAAATCAGAAACAGGGACAGAGTCATCAAAGGGAAACCAGCTGCAGAAAGGAGAAGCACAGAGAAAGGAGAAGCAGAAAAGGCAACAGAATCAGCAGACACTGAGGGGAAAGGAGAAGCAGGGACAGAGTCATTAAGAGGAAACCAGCTGCAGAAAGGAGAAGCACAGAGAAAGGAGAAGCAGAAAAGGCAACAGAATCAGCAGACACTGAGGGGAAAGCAGAAGCAGGGACAGAGTCATTAAGGGGAAACCAGCTGCAGAAAGGAAAAGCACAGAGAAAGGAGAAGTAGAGGCAGAAAAGGCAACAGAATCACCAGACACTGAGGGGAAAGCAGAAGCAGGGACAGAGTCATTAAGGGGAAAGCAGCTGCAGAAAGGAGAAGCACAGACTAAGGAGAAACAGAAAAGGCAGCAGAATCAGCAGGCACTGAGGGGAAAGCAGAAGAAGGGACAGAGTCATTAAGGGGAAAGCAGAAGAAGGGGCAGCGTCATTAAGAGGAAACCAGCTGCAGAAAGGAGAAGCACAGAGAAAGGAGAAGCAGAAAAGGCAACAGAATCAGCAGACACTGAGGGGAAAACAGAAGCAGGGAACAGAGTCATTAAGGGGAAAGCAGCTGCAGAAAGGAGAAGCACAGACTAAGGAGAAACAGAAAAGGCAGCAGAATCAGCAGGCACTGAGGGGAAAGCAGAAGAAGGGACAGAGTCATTAAGGGGAAAGCAGAAGAAGGGACAGCGTCATTAAGAGGAAACCAGCTGCAGAAAGGAGAAGCACAGAGAAAGGAGAAGCAGAAAAGGCAACAGAATCAGCAGACACTGAGGGGAAAGCAGAAGCAGGGACAGAGTCATCAAAGGGAAACCAGCTGCAGAAAGGAGAAGCACAGAGGAAGGAGAAGCAGAAAAGGCAACAGAATCAGCAGACACTGAGGGGAAAGCAGAAGCAGGGACAGAGTCATTAAGAGGAAACTAGCTGCAGAAAGGAGAAGCACAGAGAAAGGAGAGGCAGAGG